TGTCACTATAATATAATTTTGTGTCCATGGGCTACACTAACCACTTGCCATTAGGTAACTTGTAGCTTATTTTATTAATATTACAAAATGTGTATATCTTACCTATTTCATGATTCCAATTTTCTTCAAATGTGGAATTCTCAATTTCGAAATTCTCTTCCTCAACTTTAACAAAATCAAGGCTAAACATATCGTCCTTACAATTATTTTCTACATCACACTCTGCTGGCCTGATATCTATATGACTAATTGGTGTGAATTGAATCTTATCTCTAGCCTCATGATGATTTGGTATTGACTGAAACCAAATTCTTTTGTGAAATAAGAGAAAAAGCCAGCATAGTGGTGCCGCAGGAGACTCCATACTACCATATCATCCCGCAGATGTCGTAAAAAGGGACAGAGGGAAACTGAAACAGGAGATGGGCAGCAGCATCTTCCTGACAACAACTACAAGTAGTAATAAAAACCGGACAAAGTAAATGAAAGAATAAAAAATAAAAAAAGAATGTATATAGTTCATCCATCCCGAGTATAGAGACTCAATAATTTATCCAATCAGATTCATGAATGCCGTAAATTGACAATGATCTATCTTTGTTTACTGAGTAATATTACATATAGATAATATTTCGTTTATATACAATAGAGTAATATATAACAGCATAAACAGTTAGCTAATTATTTTTGTAAAAATAAGTACTTAACTTACTGTAATTCATAAAATATAGGATATTGCTCTAACAAAAAAGTAAGTTGAATTGAAGGATAAACTTAACTTTGCAGTAGAAAAAACATTCTCCCATATGGCAACGGGAAGTAGCATAGAAGGCATGAGACAGGTAGTGATCATCAAGGTGCCTGCCAAGTGATGATTAAGGCAACTACTTCATTATAATGGTAGTGACCCATCAAGCAGTGAACTTTTATTAATAACAGGTATAATACCGTGGACCATGTAGTGGCGGTGTAAGAATATCCACTAGCCTATATACCTACCCACGGGAAGGGTGTCGTAAGAAGCGACAGAGGGAAACAGAAACAGGAGTTGAGAGGCAGCATTTTCCTAACAACTCAGAATAATATAAACTATGGTTACCAACCTGCCAAGCGTAGCAAATATGGCAAAACCCCTCGTATATGAGGCAATCTATGAGGGACTTTTATAGGTTTAATGGATGGAACGGATAATACCATGGACCCTCCTGCAAGCAACTGCTCCAGAATTGCATTTGACTCAATAGCCTGTTGTTGTAATGTTCTGCAACGAATGAGTCTTGCATGACAGGTGAAACAGATAATTATGGGCTCCTCATCCTCGTCCATCTGAAAATATGAAAGTTCGTCATAAATATGGAAAACTACTTAAATATACAAGTTTGTAATAAAATCTATTGGTTACTACAATTCTCTTCATCATCATCAAATTTTTTACAATACTGAAGTGATAAATAAACTTACAATCGACCCAAAGGTAAGTGGCTGCTGCAGACCACAGGCACCTGCAACGAACTTCAAGCAAAGGCTACAGATGCGATGTTACCTCTGAGGACTAAGATGTAATGCTTCACACACTATTAGGACACTGTCACTTAGTTTCAAATGTAAGTTAATAACAATATACATACATCCCCTAGCAATTTTAACCTTTTTAATTTATTATCAATTACAGTATGAAGTAAGTTCCAGGTCGGTTTTGTCATCTAACAATTAGATTATTTTATCTCATAAGGATATGGGCAGCAGCATTTTACTCATAACAAGTCAGACTAATAAAAAAACTGCAGTTGACAACCAGCCAGCTAGCGTGGCAACTATGGTAAATAATAATAATAATACCAGAAATGATACTAAAAATATATAAAACAAATTTTCGACCTATTTTAGAATATACATTCTAAATTATATTGAATTGCTGAAGAAGCTTCAACACAGATATTCATGTTTGTACATAATTGAAAACATACTATATGAAGACAGTCTGAAAGATGACAGAGAATGAGGAGACTTGATTGACACATATAAAATAATATACAAACACCATGATATAGAAAATTTCGATAAACTTTATTATTCCAGTACTCAAACAACACACAACTTAGTGGCATCACTTCAAATTGACTAAAGCTGAGTCACCTAATAACTCGCCTACTTTAGCTATTGTGTGGTTAAAGTATGGAACAGGCTGCTATCAAAAGTAATATTAGTACAAATCATAAACTAATTGTACAACATGATTTGAAACCAGGATACAGAGTTATATCAACTGTATCAACTGCTGGCTGACTCAATAATTTCTTACACAAGGATGACAACAAATAGAACTGTCCACCTGATGGTAAGTGCATTTACTTACCATCAGATGGACTGTATGATTTGTCGTTCGCTATGGCCTGTATACCTCCACATTTATCCCCAGTTAAGAATCAAAACGCAGATGCGTTGTCACCCCTGAGACCAAGACTGAATGCCTCACCTCTAGTAAAAAGTGTCTCCGATGCTCTACATTCACCATATAAAACAGAGCAGAATTAAGCTGCTATTTAACTCTAGTAATCTGTGAATGTGGTAGCACCCCGGTCTAGCTGAACCATCTTTGATACAACCATAATATAGCTGCAGCATGGCTCTACCACTTATAAAATAATGATAATATGTCATACAGGCAGAATTTTGGTCACAATGGAGACTATTCATCAGTGCAGGACAGGATTATATTGCATGTGTGTTAGCAAGCACATGTGCACATTATTCCCTTCTCCGATTTCTCAGTCTGATAGGAATATGAGAAACATGAGAGTGAGGGAATTTCTGTCTGTAAGCACATGTGCACTCTAATCTCCCACTTTAATAGTCCATAGAACAGCTTTAAGTGGGTGAAAGAGCAAACTAGGGTGGATATTAATTTTTTGACGGAAAATAACAGACACCGCGAATAAATCTATGCAGTAGTACGGGTCGCGTGGAAGGATGCACAAGGTTCCTTTTTATGGCGCAGACTCGGTAATTTTGAGCCCGCGGTTACTTCAATGATAATACTGATTTTAGTGCGACCCAGGATTCAGGCTAGTTGTTGATTTTCAGGTTTTGGTTGTATTTGTCACTATATAGTATATAGTATATATATATACTATTTATGTTATATACACTATAAATGTTATATAATTTCTCCAGCGATAACCCCTCTTTAAAGTATTTCTCGACGAGGTACATTCAATTTGCAATGTTAAGAAATATTTTTACAAACTTACAAAATTATTCGTCAATGTTTTGTACAAATTTTCGAGACCAGTCTTCTTTAGTACATACATGCGTACATTATCGCATAAACAGATTCTACAAATTTCACTAAAATAGGCCATTTCTATTTCCAATAGCTTTAATCACAATTCATAAATTAATATGCAATACATATGTAAGTAGAATTAATTTTCTGTTTTTCTCATTGATATAAGAAAAATAGTTTCTTATATCACTCCCATATAAAAAAATCCTATATAAAAAAGTACTCTGTGCAAAACTCCCATAGCAAGATGATATATGACAGTTGACAGCCACAGATTACTGTATAACTATATACCAGTCTAAATGACTCAACCATGAAGTTATAAATAAAGATGGAGGCCACACTTGGAACAACAGCTTGAGTCAAATACCTACGTATCTTTATCTCACTCTCTGTGGTCTGACTTCTCTTTTTAGTGTGGAACACAATATTGCTATGTTTTTATTTGAATCTCCTGGTAAATTCTTAGAAATAATTTCCACACTAACTAAATCAGAAGTTAAGCTCTGTAAAATAATGTACCAATAAATAAATAGTTGATCTACGATTAGTTACATTAAAAATTCCAAAATTGAAGGTCGGCTTAGCTTTCCATTGACGTCAGTGGAGTTTGGTGTTGATACGTATTTTTACAGAAAGATTACACTATTATAAGCACACACACAAAGTCTCAATATACGGAAACGCGTAATTTTTGAGAAAAGAATAATTGAAAATCAATTATTCTTGCAATGTTTATGTCTAATCTGCTAATAAACTGGCGCCATTTTGTAATGTCATTGTCGACGTCAATAGGGATGTCGATTCTTTCCGAAAAAGGTCGATTTTTAAATCGATTCAAATCGTAAGCTGATCTAAAATATCTATATTTTTTTAATGTTTCTATTTATAATGTAAATATAAACCCATTTTATGAAAAACAAGAAAGATACCATGATAAATGATCTCTTATTGAAATTTGTTTTATTTAAGAGTACCTATTAGGGCAGATAACAAATAAAATAGGTTAGGTTCAACTTATGTCAAAGAACCGAATTGATTGACCCCGACTCCACCTGGTACGAGTCTGTCCTACCCCTAGAGTGGTTTTATAGAGCCGGAGGGATGCCTGCGATTTGTTACGCTAAGGCGTAGAGGTTGCTCTTCCCGCAGCGCCGGAGACGTAGCAGTCTCAAAATAGATATAGAAATCCTTATGAATCAGTCCCCTTATTTTTTTATGATGAAGGGGATTTTTTCTCATAAAATGGATTTATATTTACATTATAAATGCAAACATGAAAAAAATATCGACATTTTAGAAATCGATTTTTTGGGAATCGATACATCAGCTTACAATTCGAATCTATTTAAAAAATCAATCTTTTTCGGAAAGAATCGACATCCCTATTGACGTCGACAATGACATTACAAAATGGCGCCAGTTTATTAGCAGATTAGACATAAACATTGCAAGAATAATTGATTTTCAATTATTCTTTTCTCAAAAATTACGCGTTTCCGTATATTGAGACTTTGTGTGTGTGCTTATAATAGTGTAATCTTTCTGTAAAAATACGTATCAACACCAAACTCCACTGACGTCAATGGAAAGTCGTACCTGAAGGTCTTGTATGCATTATTGGGTTAACGAATCAGTGAATTACAATCCCATTTCCTAAGGGTTCGGTAATGTGGCAACATTAGCCCTATATGTCAAAATAAATTAGACAAATATGGCGGTTATTTACTTAGCAGTTCACAGCGTCGTTTGAGATATTTAAAGTTAATTATTGTTATAATTCAAGAAATGGTGCAAACTTGTGTAGTACGTGGTTGCGGCAGTAGTTGGTGTCCAGGAGGTAATATAAGATTTCACACGTAAGTGTTTAATTAGTGACTTCTGGCATTGAATACTTGTAAACATACTTTTTTGTATTTTCACTTAATTTTTTGCTGAAATGTTTTATCAGTGTTTTAAACATATTAGTAAATTATAACTTTGTCAAAATCAAATAGTTTTACATTGAATTTAATTAAGTTTGAACAATTTTATTGTTTTTGTTTAAAAGAAATCGCACTGAAGTAGTGTGGCCATATTGACGATGTATCTGAGACTTTCCGTGTGACCTTAACTAATTATATGTACATGTTTCTTATTAGGTTACCGGAAATGCATGAAATTTAGGAATTATGTACACTTCCTATATATTCTATATAACAAATTTTTCAATTTAACACAAGTGAGGGGATACATATTTAGCCTACTATTTAATTTATTATATAGATATTTTGATTTACAGGCAAATTGTTTTTTCTTAAATTTGGTTTTACAATATGGAATATTGAAAACAGGTAGAATTCTACGTTTTAGTGTCTGAAGGGCAGTGTATGGTAAAGTGCTGTGGATTCGTATAACACTCTTTAAAATGTACGTTGGTTTAAAGAACATCACCTTCAGTAATGCTCTCTGAGCCCTTTCAAGAGTTATTAAATAGGACTTAGCTGCTCCACCCCATGCTGTAATGCAGTAGCTTAAGACAGATTGGGCTAGAGCTTTATACGTACATATAAGAATTTTATTATCTGCGACATGTCTGAGCCTTCTAAAAATCCACATAAGCTTTCTTATCTTGTCAATGGTACACTCAATTTGTTTGTTCCATATAAGATGCTGGTCGATAGTGATACCTAGATATTTGATAGTAGACGATCTAGCAATATCAACACATTGACAATTTTTCACCTGGTGTTGGGAGCAGCTATGAATTTTAAGAGCAAAGTCCGAGTGTGGTAAGGAAGATTTTTGTATTACAAAAGGAACAAATTGGGTTTTTGATACATTAAGAGTTAATAGATGTGATCTTAAGTAATTTGATATATGCTGTAATCCTGATTCAGTCGTAATTCTAAGAGAATCCCAACTCTTTTCACTGAAAATCAGGGCGGTGTCATCCGCATATGTAAATATATCACAATTAGGAAGCTTGAGGCTACAGAGGTCATTCACATATATCAAAAACAATGTCGGTCCGAGCACACTGCCTTGTGGAACGCCGTAATTAATGGGAGATGACTGGCTGATAACGTCACCAAGTTTTAGATGTTGTAGGCGATTCGTTAGGTAGTCTGTGAATAGCTTATGGGGTGTACCTCTTATGCCAATGTGATATAGCTTATGTAATAATATTGGAATTGAAACGGAGTCGAACGCCTTTGCCAGATCAAGGAAGACGCCGACACATTTATTGCCTGCATCTAGGTGCTTACAGATAGTGTCGGAAAGTGCCAGAACTGCGTCTTCAGTGGACACGCCATTTCTAAAGCCAAATTGATTATTTGATAGCAGGCTGTTTTTGTAAAGGAATTTTTTAATGCGGTTATTAATAAGCTTTTCCAAAATTATTGCCAGAACTGGAAGTACAGAGATAGGCCTATAATTTTCAATTTCATCTTTATTTCCATTTTTGTAGATGGGTGTTACAATAGCTTCTTTGAAAACAGAGGGGAAACAGCCTTTTTCGAAACAGAGGTTATACAGATGACAAAGGACAGGGATAAGATAATTTTTGGCCATTTTAATAAAAGCAGTAGGAATGTTATCCCACCCGGGGGCGGAGTCGTTAGATAAGTTACAGATGATTGTATTAATTTCTACTGAATCTGTTGCTAAAAGAACGAAAGAATTGGATGAAGAGGGACTATTAATGTTATTTATGCTACGAATAGAATTATAGGACATGGGGGACGGTAATAAGTTTTCAGCCAGATGTTTACCTAAGTTAGAGAAGTAATTATTAGCACAATTTGCTGCTTCCAACGGTGTGGATTTAAGTGAGAGTAGATTATGTATATAGTCATTTTTATTAGTGTTTATGTTACATATAGATTTTATTGTTTTCCACAGTAATTTAGGATTTTTATTAGCTTTAGTTAAATTGTTTCTTTCGTGCATTATTTTAAGTTTACGAACAAGTTTACTACAATAATTTCTATAACGTTTATAGGTTACTTTCAATATTTCGTTATACGGATTGTTTTTTAATTTTAAATGAAGTTTGTCGCGATTGCGAAGGCAACGTAAAACTCCTATGGTTATCCAGAGCTTGATATGTCTTTTTCTTGAAGGGACACTTTTTATAGTTTGGTTGTTTTTAATCGCAGTGGAGATTTTACAAACCAAAACCTGGGCAGCTTCAGAAGGGTCTGTTATTGTTAATATATCAGGTAAGTCCGCCTTAATGTCATTCAAAGTGGCATCAAAATTGATTGAAATTTTGGTTTTTAGAGCCAGATTGCATCGCAGAGGTTCAAACATCAGGTCAAGAATGACTGTACTGTGGTCAGTGGTAGGGTTAGTAAGAACAAGTGATTTAGCAGGGTGAGACGTTTTCAGCATCATGTGATCATAGCTCATTTTATCACGAGTTGGGAGCCTATGAGCTGGGAGTATCCCATAATAAGCAAGTGATGTTAAATAGTTATGACAGTTTGGATCTTTGGAGTCGATTTTGATGTCGATGTTTATGTCACCCGTTATAATAATATTCGGATAGCAATTATATTGTATAAGAAGAGATTGAAGGGATGATACAAATTCGTCAGTATTTCTAATAGATGGAGTGCGATAAATGCCGATTATGACAGTATCGTAAAGAGATAAAACAAGGTAGGAAGCGTTTGTAATATACGGTTCAAATACATTGATGTTTAGATTCTTTTTTACATAAAATACTACGCCATCACATTGGTTTAAGGTATTTTTTGTAGTGTGTGTTATAATTATCATTTAGGTTAGGAATACTTTTTTTTTTGAGAGGTGACATTCAGTCATAACTAGTACGTCGCAGTCGGTTTTAGTTGAGTGGAGCATAGCTTGAAAAATATCAAGATTTTTGTATATACTCCTTATGTTTTGGGTAAGAATGGTTAGGTGACTTTTTGTTGAGACGTGTAAATAACACTCTTCAGGCGTGCAAGTGACGGCCTGAGCTATACTAATATTGTCTATATCATTCTATGGATGGGACAAATTATCCATGAAAATTAGGAAGTTTTTGTGTGCAGTAAATTTGTCTAATAGGTATTAATTTAAAATTATTTGCATAAAGGAGTTCTAGACAGTTGATTACCACGAAAGAATAAAAGTGAAAAATAATATTCCTACATTGGTTATTCCAAACTCTCAGATCAAAGTTAATTATTGCAATTAATCTACAGTGTGAATGCAAGGTGTTATGTTTAGCTAGCGAAAACAGAACTTTTGTAAAGAGGTGTGTGAGTGGAATTTGTGTTTGTGTTTTGGAGTAAGTATTAAGGTAAATGTGTGACAAGAAAAGTGTGTAAGTTATGAATATTTTACTGGCATAAACAGAGTTAACAGAACATAGGTACAACGTACAATTAAAAAGTTATGTGTATAACCTATATCAATTGCTTGAACACTTTGCAAGACATGGATCCACTTGAAACTAAGTACACAGTTCATGCATAGTCATTTGTTGGCCTCATAAATGCCTTTTATTTGTGCTTCATTCATAATTTTTATGATCGGGGATGAGTCATCTTTCCGCACCAGGACTTCACCTACCGAGGTCCAGCAGTATTTATACTTCAGATTTTTTGACAATTCCCTCGCTAAGTAGTACAGTTTATTACTATTAGGTGTGAGATGGTCAGAGATAAAAATAGGGGTACATGTTCCCTTTAGACCTAGGTTCTGGGTATTTAATTTATTATTCTTATTATGGTTATTGTACTTTTTAGCAGCGCTTGTAATGTTAATTTTCTGGACGTAAGTTGACATTTCGACAACAATAGGCTTTTTATCACCCTTTATGGTCGTCCTATATATATTCTTTATGTCATTACTTTGTATATTGACCTTAAGTGATGTAGATAAATTACTTACCATGCTCAACAACGTTTCTTTGGATTCATTTTCCGATCTTGGGACATTTTTCAGTTCAAATGAACATTTACGTTGGGCTTTCATGAGATTTTCCACATTATTTTCAAGTATAGTAATATGTTCCTTCTGTTTGTGCCTCTCTTGCTCCATAAGGTCCACTTTTTTACACATGTCGTCGTATTTGGTTGAGAGAAAAGTCAGTGATTCCTCTATGGATCTCAACGCAGATGTTACTTCTGTTCTTTCGCTGTTTTGCTGATCCATCCATGAAGTAATCATGTCCTTCATTTCTGTTTTAAAATCCGCTAAATCGATCAGAATTTCTTCGGAGCGCTTTCTCTTAATTCGTGAGCTAACAAAACTGGGAGGCGACGTTTCTTTGTCGTCGGAGACGCTAGGCAGGTTGGAATCAGAATTGCATTTTTCCGATGTTCGAAACATTTTCAGAGTTCTCGTACAGCCTCAAACTTATTTCCAGCTCAACAAAGTGTAGAACAAATTGACAGGTTATATTTTATAGTCGAGAGTTACGGCGTCACTTGTAGTAAGCGTGTTGGCAGTTGGTAGGTATGCTTCAACTAATGTCGTGATCTCGTAGCATGTATTTCGTAGCGAACGTAGTAGAAGTGTCTACGGCGTTTGACGTAGTTACAAAGATCATGCAGGGAGGAAAGGAAAGGAAAGAAAATACAAATACCATCCGTCTTTTTTTGTCACCGCTTGCTGCGTCAGTGAGCAAAGATGCGATGCAGGAACGAGAAGGCAATTATTAAGTCTATTATCTTACTCGCACGTTCCCCACCGCAGCCGGTCGCTGGTGTTGAATAGTCAAATGCACTTAATATTATTGATAATTTTTAACTATTATGAGCCTTATTGACACACGCTCGCGCACGTCTGCTCTCGGTGAAATCACGAAGGAAGAGGAATAGTCTAGACTAGTATATTCCGGATAGGCAAACATGACGGA